GTATTATGGGTTTTCTTTCAGAAACTTACTGTGCTCCAGCACAGAAGTAGATCAGCATTGTTCCCCATAGGTCTCCTATAGGAGACCTTACTGTTCTAATGGTTTTAATGCCCATCGTAAATTTATTCATGGCCACGTGTCTGTGCGAATACTGTTCCTTAGCTTAAACAACTCTTCTTCCTTCTAGTGCTTTTTCTTTTCCTGTATGCATTTGTTGACAATGCTCCTATTCCTTTCACTGTTCATTTCACCAGCCTAAACAATTTAAACTCATCTATAAACCCTTCACACGATTCTTCTGGTGATCCTCATGGCTCTGCCTTGAAGGTCTCAAGGTCTCACTTCACTGGTATCTGCACTGTATCGTTTGATTTTCCTTCATCGTGCTAGCAGCTGGCAACAATCCCGAGGTTCTCGCAAGTTTTCACTTCCAAAGTATGAGTTCCTTCCTTGTAGCTGAATTTTTGCTGCTAGTCCCCAAAGGCAGTATCTTCCTTAAGTACTACATAAATAAATATACTTAATATACTACATATTAAGCCACTATACACAGACAGGAGACATTGCTATCACAACTGAGCTGAATATCAAGTCTCCAACTGAATGCCTGAATTCAGAAATGAGGTGTACCCCATAATGAAGTCCCTCAAGAGATGTCTTTGCTAGGGACGTTCAGATTATTCCTATTGTGTACTGACAGCTCTTCATGAACAGACATAGTCACTTCTGAATTTGCCCAATTGTTTCTAAAACGTCAGATTCATACAGCATTACAAATAGTTTTGGAACCTCTTATGGAACAGCATTCCTTCACCACAGTCAAAAAACCTCAAAGAGCTCCAATTTTCCTGCAATGCATAGTAAACAGTTTTGTAACCACATATCAAAATGAGGTCTCCAGCACATGACTGAAATTGGCTTAACTATGGTAGTGGTCAAAAGAATTAGAGCAATAAGCCGTGAATCTATTTGATTATCTTTTATAAATACCTTAAGCCATCAATGTACTGAACTCTATTATTTTTGTATTTGATAGGTAATAAGCAACAAATATATTACATTGGGCTGTGGTATATCTGGCTGATATACATACTATATCTCACCAATAGAGGCCAGATGGAAGATCAAACAATACAATACAAGAGACAAATCCCTGTGATGAGTTGTTTTTACATTTAGCTGACAACGAAACTAAAAAATGTGGTCTATCTGCAGCTGCTTTCACTGAAGCTCAGGAAATTTGGATTGTTGAACCACAGGAAGCTGTCGTGAGTTGACCAAAACTGGAATAGATTCTCATGGAGCCTTTTTTCCATTTTGCGTTTTACGTAACTTGTGGCTATTGCAGAAAGCTTGGCAACTACTGTTTCGCTCAGGCACTTTATAGCTACTAAATCAGAAAACTATTTCCCAAAAATGTGATCACATTTTCTTTTTCAAAACACTGAATACTTTCCAACTACATCACAAACATCTCACTAGGAAAGGCAACATTTCAAACATTTTATTAAATATATATAGGATTTAATGATGTAAAAGTTGCCTCTTCTGTGTAAGCCAGACCATAGTCATCTCTAAAAAGAAAGCCAATTTATTTTACTTTCTCTGAGAAAGCAAGATAGAAAAGGACAACTTGAATATATAACCACAGTTCTAGAGTAACCTTCCAGGCCAGACTCACGCATCTATTTTCTTACCTGCTAATCTTTATTTTCTTGCCAATTTTTTATGACCTTTTACCATTTACCCCTGGTTTGCAAGTTCTACCTCTCCTCATATCTCTGTAAAGAATGCAGGTGGCAATGGAGGAACAGAAGTGCTTATACTAGGAAGAAATTATGGATATGGAACTAGACATGGTGTCCATGTGGAGGGACCCCTTCACTCAAAGAGTATCTCCAGATTTGGTGCAGACGCTGAGGGTGGACACACAGGACAGGGCACATGGACAACTATAATTCACGAACTTCTACATTTCCAGGCCCTTATACGGTACTACACTATAGTACAGATACCATATACAATAGTCCCAACTCTTCCCGACATTTATGTTTGAATTATCAATAGACAAGAACACTGTTTTGATACTTTCTTTCTTCCAGCCTGCATTGTGTGTCGTAGAAAGTGGTCAACCAGGAACACTAAAAAAATGCAGACACAGACTATGTTCTCACAGTCAGTGCCATGTTGTAGCATGTGCAAGAAAGACAAGAATCTTCAAGACTGGTGTCTTACAACAGCTGTCTCCTTACCGATCCCATTTGCATCCTCCTCTGGGAACTTACATATTCCAATCACTTGTTTGGATTTGGCTTTGTTTAAATTGTTCTACAGTACAAATGAGACATTTATTGCTTGTGGAGAGCAGGTCTAACCACACTCTTGTTTTTTATTGCATTTTTTCTTCTTACTGTAAGTTTGATTTTTGACACTTACTGCTGTCTAACTGCAGCAAAAACAGACGCCGCAGATGTGGAGAGGGGGAAATAAAGTTTTATTAAGTGCAAAAATGGAACAGAAAATGCAGTATAAATCACTGAAATGACCCATTACCTCAAACCAACTATCACGTGAATTCACTTACAAATTGACATATACATGATCAGGCAAATCAACACAGCTACAGTCTATAAAAGTCATATTAGCGGCTCCTTTTCTCTAGGGACTGGTAAACATAAAGCAGGCATTTCCAAGCCCTGATTAAAGTCAGTAATTCAGGTTATAAGAGCAATAAGAACAATATCTGGTGCTAATATGAGGATGCATATCCTTAATTTCCCTTGTCTCCCTTTACCACACCATGGGCAGTGACAAGCAGCTATAGAGATTAAATGACTGTGTCACGATACCATTCTGTGCAAAAATACTTGCCCTCTTACACATATTGAGTAGTTCATTGTACTGCATCTGAATGTCTGCTTTGCTGGCATTCAAACAACTTTGGAGTTAATGCCATTTAGCTTTCAACCTTCCTTATGTATAGTCCTCTGGTATTCTGTAAAACCTCAGTGCAGTCAAATTCTGTATGGTCTCAACAATCTTCAGGGTACAGCAGCTACATGCAGTCACATCATCTCTCCAAGCTGAGGTGAGGGGGCATTCATGGCAAATTCAATCTCAATTTATAGCAGCTGATTCTCACAGAGAGTAGGCTCAGTCCAGAGCTTTTAACAAACTATGTGCACTATCCATATTCACATGCATAGTATAACACATTTGACACTTTATATTGTTAGGCAATACATTGACGACAGCATATGAAAAACTATGTGGCTGAGGAGCAAGTTTAACACCTCAGTTAAGTACCAGGAAAGTTACTAACTTTTCTGTCAGCTGTTTGGCCAAGAAATGGATGTGCCCAGTATGTCTGATGGCATTTCTGAAGTAGGGGCAATCATTAGTCCTGCAGGAGAATATTAAAACTGATCTGTGATTACAGATCACAGGAAACACTGGTAGAGAAGAACTGAACCTTGAGAAAGATTTGGAAATATAAAGACACACATATCTACAGAGCAGAAATCCTCTTCAGTAAAAGCTTAAGCCAGAGAATGGCTTTTGCCTAAGGATCACATTCCAATAGCTCTTTAGTTGCCTGACAGAAAGAGGGAGACCTCTTGGAGCTGATCTGAAGGACACCACGGATGTGTGCCTTATTCCTTTGTTCCTTTTCATCTGCATGTTAACCTGGCAACGGTGTTGTCTCCATTTTGTAAATCCACATTTAGCCTTTACTTTTACCTGATCTGCTAGAAACTATGCTTGATTACAGGATATTTGACAAACAACAAGGTATTTCATTCTCATGAATCTTGAGACATTGCCATGAGACCTAGCGCTCCAATTGTGCTCTCAAGTGCACTGAGAAGGTAGCGAAGCTCCTCCATTACAGCTGCATGAATTAAGTGTCAGTGTCAAAGAGATGTCTCCTCAGAACTAGCATTAGTTGAACACAAGACAATCATGAGAGGGGGCTGAGCCTTGACGGTCTCCTAGCAAACTGACAGAAGATCTTCCAAAATGATTCTCCATTTATTTCTCCCCATTGGTACTAGGAGGAAATTTTATCCAGGAATTTATGTCAGATTGGTATCTTCTGCCAGGCAGCTAATAATAAGAGAGGATTACCACAGTTTTGAATGGCATTACTAAGTTTGTTTTAAAAAATAATACTAAGTACAAATGTTCCAAAGGGTTAGGAGTATATGTACATACCAAAGATCTCATTTTCACATAAATCCCCTACATCCCTCAGCCGAAGGCAGCTCAGGGTATAATGTAGGTATCAGTGTCCATGAACAAAATACTAGTATCTCTATCCCATCCCCCTCTTCTCCTTGCCAAAATGAGCATTTACAGTATTCTCAGTGAAACAGAAGGATGGAAACAGTCTTTACCATTCCTCCAAATCACTCCCACTTGGCTTGTCTAGACCATGTAGAAGTCAGTAGTGAATACTGTTAGCCCGACCAAATCTGCCCTACTCTTTCTAACCTCCCTTTTCTCTGTTTTCACTTTATTTTTCTGCTTGACATTGCCCAAAGCTTTCTAGGGCAGGAGCCATTTGGGTCTACTCCCAAGCAGGATCCTTAGGAAATACCAAAATACAAAACCAAGAGCATCTAAATAATAATACTTTGCAAATACTGATACATTTATTGAGGGGCCTCAAAAAGTATACAAGTATAATTAATATCATTCTACATTACTGGAAAATGTGAAATCGAAAATGTTTTGCATTGTGCTTCAGGCTATGTGGTAAGTCCTAAGCAGAATCAAATTTCTGCTCCTTGTGCAGATCGCTGAGGAAACTCTCTCTGGGATAGCATTTAGCATTGGGGTGACATCGTCCCAGCCACTGTAACAATTTCTACAGTCTTCTCAGATCTCAGACTTGGCCTTTTATGAACACTATCTTCCCAAAGTAAGTGTGCAGTTTGTGTTTTCTAGTAGTTAGCAAAATGCGCATTTTTCTGCAGCATCTTCTGTCTCCAGAATTGTTATACGACTGCATTAAAGTCACAGCCCTCAGTCCGTGGTTTAGCCCCTTCTAAGTCTAGATCAAGATTATTATAGTGCCCTTTGGTGTTTATCTTGGTAGGTTTTGCTGGCATCAGGTACCGAAGATTCTTCCAAAATCTGGAATTCAAGGGAAGAGATTTATCCTTTTTCCACTTCACAACCCTCTTTGATGGTAAAAGAGACAGTGATTCTGGCAAGAAATTGTAGTCACTTATAGGCATATATTCAATTAATATGATCTTAGTTTTCCTTTCAACTAGGGCTTTATGCAGTCCACTCTCAAGTTCGTATATGGCTCTGTCAGAAACGTAGTTCTGGCTCAGTATAATGATTAATCTTCGACTTTTGTCAATGAATGAATGGATATCATCAACAACCGCTGCAAATTAAAGATAAATGTGTTATTAAACTAAATTGAAAGGATAGGCACTGAATCGACTTATCCTTTAACAATCGCACATGTACCAAAAATGTTCCCCTTATAAAGTGACAGCATGTAAGCATCCTGTCCCTAAGAAGAGATTAATATGCATTAAAGATTAAGAGTCTGTGAAAATGAGCTCAGGTATGGCCAAAGCCATACCTGAGGTTTTGTCTGGAGCAGACAGCTACCCTAGACAGCTGTCTGTCAGTAGTCACATGGATAGAAGGTGACAGCAAAATTTATTTTTCCTCCAACCAGACATCTTTTTGCTCTTTCATAATAGATAACGTTGGAGTGATTCCACAGAGAGTGACCAACAGCAACCTCTCTCCAAATATTCTATAACTCTCAGGTTACTCCCTCCTTTAAGTTAACAAATACCCATATCTATTGCCAATAATACAAGGTCGAGAAGACTAGCATGTGATGACAGAATGAGTTCTGACTGTGTTTTAGATCCATTACTTTTGTCATGACAAGTGATGAATGAAATCAGACAGTGATACCCTTCAAACACCCATGCACCAAATAGAATTTTCGTGCACAAATTCCTGTGCTTGCTTCAGCACCATGGGACAACAAGGTCTACAGAAACCAGAGATCTAGAAAACACGCCTTGTAGGGAAAGGGAAAGCAAACTGCAGGAGTAACCTAAAGAAGAGAAAACCAAGAAGAGAAGAAAGCTGACAAGTATATTACAGCACACCAAAGGCTCCTGTAAATAGAAGGAAATACTCTCTTTTCCACACTCACAATGGATCCAACCAGAGAAAAGGAAATAAGCTAAAACTATTGCAAAGAAACAAGCTAAAACTATTGAAAGAATCAGATTGAGCACTTCCGAAAGCCTTTTTTTAATACTTAGGGAGAGAGAATAACTGGAAAAAATGGTTTGGGAGAGTTGTGGCACCTCTCAGTTTAGAAAAATATGTCAGAATTGGATACAAGGAGAGAAGATCCTGTTTTGTGAAGGAGGTGGACCGACCTTATTGTTCTGTGTTTTTAACAATGAAATCCTATTCCTCAACTAGATCTTTGGACCAAACGGAACACCCCTGTATCTTTTTTCCAAGCATCTGCAAAAGGCCATCTATCCATAGGCCATTAGAGAAACAAAATTCCATGTTCTCATTTCTATTTTGTTATGGCATCCATCACATTCACAAAATGGTTTCAACCACCACACTGAAGATACAGCAAATATACAAGTCACCTGAGAATAACTTGTACCATAGACACCAGCTGCTCTGTGCAGTAAATGTGAGTTCATTCATAGGCGCCTGCTCTCAGCAAAAGCAGAGCAAGAGCACTATTACTGTGAAACATCTGACATCATCTGTGTTCTCACCTTAACTTTCTCTATGCTAGCTTTTTCATCTGTTCATCTTGGTTCTGTGTAATTAAAGAGATGTATGTGTGTGTGTGTGTAGATGTATATGAATTCATAAATATATCTATATAATATGTAAAATGTGTGCATGCAAACTTTGCATGCACATAGTCTAGATTCAATGAAAAATGCAGCATTTCAATGAATGCACAACACATTTGACAGAATTCCTTCTAATTACAGACTTTCACCTTTGTGTGAAAATGATGTGCCTAGTTCATGAGAAGAATATTCAATACACTTACCTCCTCCAGGGGATACATCCCTCTCAAATATACATAACTTGTACCCAAAGTTTTCTTCTAGTATCATGGGTAATATCTTCAAAGCAAATTCTCTCTCTTCTTCAGTAGGAGAAACACAGTCTTTCAGGTAAGACACAAATGCATCATATTCTTTTCCATCTGGAAAGAAATCACCCGTTGTTGTTCTGTTAGCAACCATTAGAAATACAGTATCTGATCCACCATTTTGGTTTTCAAAGTTATTGTCTCATTAGCAAAGCATCTAGAAACTCCTGCTCTTTCCTTTGATACCCCGAACAGTCTTCAAACAAAAAAAATTGTGAATCAATTTAAATTTGATACAAAAGATTCTGATTGCATTTGGCAAATATTTGAAAATAATATATCCTTTCTACATTAAGGTGTTTTTTAAAAAAATCAGATTAATTTAACCAGTTAATGTCACATCTGTGATGACCAAGAAAATGAAGGGAAGCAAAAATTGTGTCTGTAACCTGTTAAGATTACTATTTAAGTGATATTGCAGATTTCCACATTTATTTTACTCTTTGTCTAAGACTATCAAGTAGTTCTGTAGAATGGGTACTGGCAAAAGAGAATAAACCAATTTATTATTTTAATTATAAGAGTATACCATGTCTGGTCATGCTTTGGGCACTAACTTACAAACACAAAATCCAAGACTAGTTCAGAGGCCAGGTCTACCCCACTGAATGATATCTAATTGAACCTTGCCACAGAACAACTATCTGGATTGATACAGCGGCGCATATAGCTTTGCATCTTAAACTCTACTTCTTTGCCTTTGCTTCCCTTTCCGGATACTTTACTACATGTAGTTCATAAGAGAGAGCACAAACTAAAGCCCATGAAACCCTACACATGCAAGAGCTCTAGAAGTAAGAAATCCATTGCCTATTATCAGACAATCAGTTCCTCCAGCGTGGCCTAGTCCAGGTTCTCCTCCCTGTAAGCCAGCGTACGCAGTGATAGCTAGCATCAACAGATAGATACATAACATTGGCAGGCATAAATGACATCCACCCATTACCAAGAAATCTCCAACCACTGCAGTTTATTCAAGCTATATTCAAGCTGATTTAGAGACTAAGGAATGCTAAGAAAATAAGGTACATATATACAGCAAGTTTTTTCACCACAATTTCCAGAAAAATTATACCCAGAATTGGGTAACTGTCAGGCTTGCTCCTTAAGTCAAGGTCACAGCAATGCTGCCTGGTAAGATACTGGTAGTGTGCTCTCCTGCTCTCCTTAAGTGTATTTAGTGACAAACCTATAACCATTGCAATGGCCTCTACAGTCAAGGAAGCATTTTAACCTTCACCTCACTGAAGGGCATCAGTGAGGTGAAAACAAATTCCTGTCAATCTGCCTGTCTGACAACTCCAGAGTGCCCATCCTCTTTACAGATAGATAGTTGTAAACTTCTCCACCTTCATCAACATTTGTGATGAAGAATATGGCAGAACAGAGCACATCTGAACAGCATCTAACCATGTCCCTTCCACTACCTGCTCCAGAGGCAGCTTCTTCACTGTGTTTATCTGCTGTTACTGCCCCAGGTGTATAACAAACTCACTTTAGCATCTGACTATTAAGTTCTTTTTTACATATTCTCTGCTGTTTCTACTCAGAAAACTCCTGCATTTATTTTGTCTCTTCCTCAAAGATGATTGTTTTATAGAACCTACCAGAAACTATTTTTTAATCAATACACTTATTTCAATGTCAACATTAGCCAAGTCATACCTCCAGCAGTGTCATCTCTTCTGCGTATGTTCCTGTAAAATAGAACTAAGTCAACTCTAAACATCACACAGACAAACACCACAGCTACCGCAACACATGGAAATAGTACAGCAAGGACCATTCCAGTTGTAAATATGTGCACAGGCAGATCTCGGGTGTTCCCTGTAAAACAGAAATTATAGCCTTAACAAAGAGTATTGTATGACAAGATTACTGTATACAATACTGATGGCATCTTAAAATCACCCCCAAAAATCACAGTGTTGATGTGAATCCTTTCCTGCTAATACTTCAAGCACATATGCATGCCATTTGTCCTGAGATGGAGAAGAACTACAGAACACGGATTACTCTAAAAACTGGAGAAACAATCTTGCACGCCTTTACACACCCTCCACACACACAAATGAACTGCATGTGAGATCAAGACTGACACTACAGATCCTCATAGATGTACAGCATCCCAAACTGGTGGTCACCCACTTTTATGATGAGTTTTCTTCAGTTTCTTTATTATTTCCTGTTATTCTCTACCTTTCACCCCTCTCTCAGTCCATCCATAACAGTCCTTAATGTACCCTTTAATCTCTTTGGACAAGATCTTCTATTTTTTTGCTGTCTCTAGTCTCTTTCAGGCTTTTTTTTTCTTAATTATTATTCTGTTATCTTTGTCTTTTTAGTTCCAAACAGAGATTTTTAACCCTTAAATCTTTGTGAAGTCTTTATGAAGGCACTGTCCAGTCATGCTCATTGTAGTCTGTATTTCATTTGCTTTATTATATGTATCATCTTCTGACTAGTCTATTTTCACATATTTCCTCCCAGTAAAGCTTGGAAAGGTCTGAGAGAGACGGAAAACAAGAAGGGAATGC